TTTTGGTGTAGTGTTCCATCTGAACGTTTGTGTGTGCCTGAATGCATGCGGGGTGCCCCTCCTCAGTTGAGTGCACCCTCGTGCTTCAGTTTTATACAAGTATATTTGTTGGTGATCTGCTCGTTAGAATATTGTGGGCATCTCTTCAGGGTGGTAAATGTACAGCTGTCAGTTTTGTCTACATTGCAGTCTCTTCTTAGATTATAGCAGCTTATTTGAACAATCTAGTGGTGACTACATGGGCATTTATGTTTGCAGTTTTCTCACTATTATAAAGAATACTTCAATAAAAAAAGAAAATCTGTGTGTCTGTCTTTTTAAAGTTGACCCATCAGTCAAATCTTTGTCAATGACTTCTTTCTTTAGATCTTCATTTTTATACCAATACCAGTAAAGTTTTGTACATTTATTTATACATCTGAAATTTGTCCCTATTAATAGTAGGTACTGTATTTTTCTGTTAAAAATAGGTCTACATTCTTTTTATGTTATAAAATATATGCTAATCTTTAATAATTTTGGTGTTTAATTTGGTATTACAAATTTCAATAAATAACAATAAAACATTTCACTTATAAATGACAGTTTGTGATAGGAATGAAATTGGTCACTTTTTATAGTTCCAGGAAGTAGAATGCAAGTATTTTATAGTCAGTCATATTTCCGGTTCCTATTTCCTGCCTTAAAGTGTCATGAAAAAGAGTACTTGTTGAAAGGACTTTTTTTTTAAACTGGTTTTGCTATTTATTTTAGCTAATGAATACATTTTAAATATATTTTTTGGCTTTTAAAGAATACTTACGTTAATTTGCTTTGATAAAGTGGAGGTCCTTTGTAAACCTAAAGTATCTAGAACAGGGATGGCCAAACTTGTTTTAAAGGGCAAGATAAATATTTTAGGTGTGCAGTCTATTTGGTCTGTGTAGATTCAACTGAATCTTGCAGCTCTTAAGTAGTCATAGAAGACAATATGTAAACAAAAAGTGTTATAATAAAACCTTATATAAACACAGGCTGCCGGTAATGTGCCAGTCCGCAAATTAGAATACGACTGAGAACCATCAGAAACCCAGTAGGTCTCTGCAGCAGTCAGAGTGAAAGAATAGAGTGTTAAAGACTACTAGTGTTTTGGTTGTCCATTATCCTATGGAAATATGTAAATGAGGCAGATTTAGATTAAGCAGTTGATTAAATATCTTGACTATTTTTGGAGGTACACAGCTTAGTGTCTTTGATGTGAGCTGTGTTTTTATTTTAAAACTGGGTCTTGCTATGTTGTCCAGGTTTGCCTAGGACTTGTTATCCTTGTGCCTCAGTCTCCTGAGTAGCTGGGGTTATGAGTGCACCACCATGTCCAGCTTCAGTGATGTAGTTTGTTGCTTGATGAAATTATAGATAATTTTAAGGCAAACGTGGTGTAGATTTAACATTCATACATATCATCCATTTTTGGAGCACATGTGTATTGGGTACTCTGCTAAGTGTTGGGAACAAAAATGGAGGGCCGTAGGCCCTGTTCTTAAGGTTCACATGAGGGAGATGTAAATAAATAAGTTATGAGTACAGTGTTTCACTGCTCTAATAAGAGATGAATACCAGGTGTTGTTGTTGGAGGAGTAATTTCTCACTCTGCCTTGCAGAATTAGAAGACCCAAGGGGAAGTAATACTTGAGATTTGAAGGAATGGGACTTGGTCAGCCAAGTTGATAAAGAATAAAGATGAATACATGTATAGTGTATTAGCGTGGGCTTGCATAACAGCACCGTAGATCAGGTGGCTTAAACAACAAGACACTTATTTTCTCACAGTTCTGGAGCTAGAAGTCTGTGATCAGTATGCTGGAAACTTTGGTCCATTCATTGGTGGTAGATGTCCACCTCTCTCACTCAGTGCTCACATGAACTTTCCTGTGTCTAGACAGAGCTCACCAGTGTCACTTCCTCTGCTGATAAAGGAATGGGATGAGGGCCCCACCCTTACGAACTTAGTTATAATTACCTGCCTTAAGACACCTTACCCAAGTATCACGCTGAGGGGCAAGGGTAAAGTATATTATATTAAGGGGGTTAGGAGATACAATTCAGTCCATAAAATAGATTCGCCCAGAGGCTGAAGTTAGCATGGAATGTTTGAAGAATGGTGAAAAGAGTATGATGTAAATTTAAACCTTCCCTTCTCAAAAATGTTTTTAAAAAAGCATATGACGTTACAAGTGGTGACGGGCCTATGACAAGATTGCACATTAGCTAGGTAGGTAGGCTCTGAGTGTCACATGCAATGTGGAAGAAATGTTGCGTTTTATCCTACAGAGCAATTGGAAGAAAATAAAGACATGTATGTATTTCTACATGGGAATACAGCAAAGTAAATATATGTGTCTTTGCTTTAAAAGTTAATGGCACTGTGAAGGGTGCTTTGAAAGGGTAGTTTGGGGTTGAGTTGGAGAAGCGATGTATTAAGTGATAGGAAGATCAGCTAGATCGCTGCTGTAATAATTCAGGTGAGAGATGAGGGCCAGAGCTAGAATAGTTATAGAGAGAGGAAGAGACAGATAGGCCGTTTAGAGGATAAATATGACTTGAGTTGGTGATAGAGTGCAGAAGGTGAAAAACTTATTTTCAGTTCTGCTGAATTCATCATAAGTTTCATATCTCCTGAAATTCATTTGCCTTTTCTTTGTCTCTTTCTGAGGTGATAATCTGTATTAAAATAATTCAGTAAGTCAGATTGGGTATAAAATATTTTTACTAAGAAATTTTTCAGTTTTATTATTTTCAAGGGCTTGAAGGAAAATTGTAATCTTACTCGGCTGTGGTTTTTAATTTGATCTAGCACTGTGTGTTCGGAGACTGAAGTGCTTTGTATTCATTTTTTTTTTTTTTTTGAGGACTGAGATTAAGAAAGTACCTGTATGCATAAATCCCATTGCACTGTAACTCTTGATTATTGTGGCATCATCATCATTTAGTAAATGCCTGATAATCTTACTATCTGCTCCTTTCCTCTTCAGAGCTGATCTATCTTTATACCTTCATTTAACTTCTGTTGCCTTTCTATCCTTTGTTAGGAGGTATTCCTTTGTCTTTACAGATCGTCAGCCTGGCCTGTAAACAGTGCTTGTTTCTTCTCTTGTAGCAGTTAAAGGTTGAAATGCGTCCACACAGTCAGCTGCTCCTCTGCTTCTCCAGTCCTCTTCTTCACTCTCGTCCCATTAAAATGGAAATCGGATTCTTAAGAGTCCTCTAGAGTTAAGGCCCACATGTGTTCATTGATTAGAACATTTGCTTTGTTGGTGGTTAAATGTTTTGAATGTTATTGCTCAGAATATATGGGTTTATTTAGTTGTAATTATTTTGAGTTCTCCTTATGGATATTCCTCTTACTTTATAAGAAAATATTTGAGGTCTGTTTCTTAGATTATAAAATATAGTGGATGAGGTAATTGAGGAACCTACTTGAGTTTGTGTGCTCTAGTTTCTACCTAAAAGAAATTCTCAGATGTTAACTCTCTGATGGATTTCTTCAAAAATATTTTCCTGAGGTCATTTTATAATAATTCAGAACATTTAATTTAAAATAAATTTTTTTAGTCATACGTGATTTCCTCTGGTGTTACTTCTTTAATGTTTGAATTGCTAAATAGCACTGCTTAAGAATTTGAACATGAAAGTATTATCACCAGCAATGGTTAATTTTCTTCCACCACTGTATAATACCTTTGATTACCTAAAACTAACATATTGACACTGAACTTTCTGAGCATGAATATGACTTTTAGATACTTGCAATATTTCTGTTTTAATAGTACTTTAGATGATATTTTGTACAACATAGAATTTTTACTTTTTCCGTACCCACAGATTAGTTATTCTGAGCTAAAAAGTTCAAAATGTACTTTCTGGGATATCCAGAAAAAAAAGTATGTCTAATTGTTCAAATAAAACATTATTTCATTTTAAAAATTTTGTATATCACTGCTTTTGTTTGTATGATTTTATTATAACTTGGTAACTCTATTCATTTGATTGGTAACATTTCTAAAAGCACTGAGAATTAAGTTTCCACAACTAAGAAGAGGGTAGTAAATTGAAGTCATATTTAAATAAGAAATTTAGATGACCTTTTGATGTATTCTTCTAATTCATTATTTTATAAATATTAGTAGTACCAAGAAGTAATGGTTTTTAAATTTAAAAACAAAATTTTAGAATAATTATATTGTTTTACTTGAAAACATCACAACAGATGCCTTAGTATATTGTTGAACCCAGTGAGCATTTATTTTTTACAAAAGTGGATAGATCTTACCTGCTTTGTTTATAATTAAAATTGGGCTAGATGGTTTTAGATTTTCTCATTGCCATCTGGTTTGCTCCTCCACCTGCCCCGTCTGAGAGATACACTCAGCTCTTTACCCTAATCTCCTAATTATCTTTTTGTTTATTGGCCCGGATTAGATAGTAAAGTGGCCATTGATTTATTCTCTTTTGCCTCTTCTCCAGTCTAATCTGTTAGAACAAATCTTAAGAAGCTAGCTTTCTGTTATTTCCACAGTCTCCCTTCAGTTGTAGACTAAAAAGTAGATATTGTTTTCATTATTTCTATTAGATAAATCTTGAAAGATACAGAAAAGTAGTAAGAAAAAATAAAAATCATAATTCCACAGTGTGAAGTTTCCCACTTATTGTAATGTATGTACCCTCTATTCTTTTCAATGCATATAAATATGTTGAATTAGTTTCATGTACTAACATTGCTTTACTTATTAACACAGAGGCCCTTTACTTACTTTATTTATTTTTTGTTCTATTTTTCCCAGCCTACTAAGGTGTAATTGACAAAATGTAAAAAATAAAATATATGGAGTTAGAGAGGAAAGTAATTTTACTAAATGCAGTAATAAAACTTTAAATTTAAGAAGTGAATACATAGATAAGAAACTTCTCACAGTTCTGTGCATGATACAGATTATTAATTCTTTTGAGGGAAAGTTGATCTTAGTTTTAAAAATTTAACTAAAATTTTAGTTTCAGATCATTTTCTTTTGTTCAAAATTTTATTCTAAAGCCATTAAGCAGAATTATTTTTTCCATTCTAGTGCTTTTGTTCCATTGAATGTTCCCAGTAACAAAAATTCTACAGAGTGGGAAAAAGTAAAGTTCCTGTTTGAAGAACTTGGAAGTAGCCGTAAGTATTGCATACTAAACAAATTAGGAGCTCTGTGTTTATTGAGGCCTCTAGTTTCTATATGGCATTTTCCTTGACTTTTGCATAAAGTTGTATGTTAAAGAGTTTAATTTTCAAAGTATTTAAAGATTTTTTTCCTGATTTCTTTCTCAGTGAATTCATTACATACATTTTTCGTTTAACAACTGAGTTCATCCAGCAACCAGGTTGTTAAATAAATTGGTCACTAAATGAGGAATTGTGTGTAATGTGTACATTACAATATTCAGAGCAAAGGAATGGCCAAAGGAATTCCAACTTGATGACTGCTCTTATTTGTATAACTCTTAATGTGCAATACTGTAATGTGTAACAACATAAAACTACAGTGCTGTACTGTATAGTACAGTCAGCAGAAATTACCCTACTGAGTAAATAAGGTGTACTGTACAAAACAAGACATTGAGGCTATAAACAAGATATACAAAACTATAGGGGAAAAAAAAGACAAGTCTTAAGTCTGAGGGGCGGATCCTAAGTCCGAATACTTTTAACGGGTAGGTCTTAAATGAGGAATATCTGTATCAGTGTAAGGAACACTATTGCTTTTGATGCATTGATTTTTTTGTCCTGCTATACTGCTGAATTGATTATTCTTAGATTATTAATTTTAGGAATCCTTTGGTGTATTTTTTGGGGGTCTTCTATCTCAAAGATCGTGAAATCTGCAAATTACAATAATTTGACTTCATCCCCTCCTGCACATACCCCTTTTATTTCTTTCACTTGCCTAGTGGCTCTTGCTAATGTTTTAAGTACTGTGCTGAAGAGGAGTGGCGATAGTAGATATCCTTGTCTTGTTCTGTTTGCTAAAGGGAAAATATAGGCATGTTCAGTGGATAAGTTAAGAAAGTTATTACTCATTGAAAAATAGCTTTACTGTTAGAAAGTAGTGTCAGATAAAAATTTGTGGCTGGATGTGGTGGTATGTACCGAAATCTCATCACTTGAGAGTACTCATGCTATGAGTGAGTACAAGACCAACCTGGGGTACATAGTGAATTCAAGGCCAGCCTGAACTACATACTGAGGCCCTGTTTAAAAAAAAAAAAAATATATATATATATATATATATATATTATATATATATATATATAATATATATATATATACACACACACACTCAATTTCATTAACACTTGGACATGGTAAGTGTATTTTCAAAAAAAAAACCTAGAATACTTACATTTAAAAACATACTGAAAAATTTCATTGCTTTTGTAACTTTTTGTAATTTTTCTAATAGTTATTCTTTGGTCACCATTCTTGCTGAGATCATTTTCTTAATTCTATGAAAATTTTGTTGCTTTTATAATTTTTTTTTTTTTTGCTACTGGGGATTGAGCTTTTATAATTTTTCTAATAGGTACTGCACATTCTTTGGTCACCATTCTTGCTGAGATAATTTTCATAATTCTAAATTTTCCTGCTTTTCACTTAAGATTTCATCTTGTAAGTTGTGGTTCATTCATACTTTGCTGATACCAGTAAGAGTAAGGATAGCAAGACTGGTGTCTGCTGTTGATGAATTGTCAGGATTTGTGCACTGTGATCCTATTGCTGAGAAATAGATAGCCTCTTTTCTTACAGTTAACTCCTTCAGGTTTCCAAGTTACTACTCTCCTACCTTAAACATTATTTCATAAGTTATACTAGTATTTCAGTATTACTTGATTTGAATCAGTGAGTAGATAGGTAATAATCTAATTTTTGTACATTCTCTTTAGTATCTGTGTATCTCCATCCATCCATCCATCCATAGTCTCAAATCTTAAACAGCATATTCTAGAATACATTTCACTGATCCCTCTAGATCTGCTATATTTTTAGGTCCAAAAGAGTCACCCAGCTATTCTTAATTTTTAGTCTTTTTGTCTCTATCTCTCTGAATTTTTAGGTATCTAGTATGTTTAACTTTTTAAAACTATGAAGTTTTTACATGAAGCAAAAGGTATGCATCCTATCTGTGCATGTATACAATCAGTGTAATTGATTGCCATAAAGGTATACAGCATATCCACGTATCCATCACTACAAAAATTTCCTTGGTACGCCTATTCAGTTAATAATTTACGTGAGAGACAGAGCAGTTATAGTTTGTGCCAGTATATTTATAATTCTGTTTTTAATGTGTCTGGCTTCTTTCACTAAATAATGTTTTAAAATCTATATAAGTAGTTGGTTTCATTTCTATTGCAGCACATGATGCATTTTAAGAATATATCACATCTTCCTTATCAGTAGAATTTATTTAGATATATGCCCAGATCACAGACCCTGCCTTATTAAAAGAATTTATTTCCTGTGTCTTTTATGTAATCTTTAAAAAAAATGGGAATAATCTTTAAAGATTAATTTTGAATCTTTGGTTCTGGTGATTTTTAGTTTAATTTTTTTTTTCTTTTGGAACTGGGGATTGAGCTCGGGACCTTGCGCTTGCGAGGCA